GGGGGGGCAGAGGGAGGGGGCAAAGCCAGCTTTCTGCTGAATCAGCCGACTGAAAACAACTCTCTCTGCAGCCCCAGACTACTACAGCTGATGCGTGACGGTGTTAATCTTGCCTGTTCAGTTTTTGGCCTCCTGAGGTTCCCAAACTGCCTCTACCCAGCTGCAGGAACAGCGCTGCTGGTGCAAAGGCAGAGGTAGGACTGCACAGGTAGAAACATAAGGGAGGGCACATACTACAGCAGCGCACAGTGCTGCAGAGATGTGGCATCAAAGACAGTCTGAAAAAGCACTTCTGCGGTATTTAAGACATGAAGAACTTGTCTGCCTGTGGCAATTCTTACCAGCTGGGTTCACAGCATTACAGCTACAATAAACTTACAACACAAACCACACAGTATTTTTCAGCTTGTGGTATCTGACCCCTTCAAGATCTTTGCACTGCTGGTGAGGGGCCTGGGAAAACAACCAAGACAAGCTTGTTGCCAGAAGGCTTCCGCTTGCTGTCTCCACGTGTCCTGGAGAATGGTTACTGGCCCTTCAAAAAGCAGGCAAACATTGCCACGTATTTACAGACAGGACCGTGTCCCCACGAGAGGTGTCAGAACGCGGTGCTGGTGAGGTAGTACGGGTGTTCCAGTTGCTGCCTCACCCACAGTAAGTTATATCCCTTAGGAGGCTCAAGCATCAGCAGCACTGGACTCTACTTACCTCATACAGTCTGAAATGGAAGAGCCAATGCAAATGTATTAATTTACAATTTATTTTAGTTTGGCTTTTCTAGGTTATCAGAAAGATAACACTGTACAATTATTTGTACACAGTTGATCTCTTTACCTGACATTAGCACTCCTTGAAGGTCAAACCGTTGACAGCCGCCTGTGAGAAGCACAGTACTAGGTTAATGTCACAAATCCGGGATCAAGACATTTATCTTTTCCTTTATATGGGGCCCACTCATCCCACATAAGCAGCTCCAGGTCAGTTTTCTTACCTGTAAGCTGGGAATGATGGCATCAAAATAGATCGTTCCCTCTTTGCCTGTCAGAACCGTTCTGTCCATCCTGACTGTCTGGTGACTGAGCTGGATTTGCTTCCCTGCTGTCAGCAGTCATTTCCATCTCACACAAGCCTTGAACTCCATCTTGGACAAAGTTCTGGTTCCTCTAATAAAGCAATGTCAGCACATACATTCTCTGCTAGTTTTGCCACAGAGCATTCAAAAACAAGAGTCTTAGCATTGCAGCTCCCTTGTCAGGTGCCAGCAAAATAAAAGGCAGTCCCTGATGGGTCGTACCAGACATGGAGCAGTGGGAGGGTGTGCGCAGACACAAATATCTCTACAAAATACCCCAAGAGCAGCCCTACAAGCACTGTGTGTCTTTACTGGCACCCAGGACCCTGCTGGTGCTGGTACAGGTGAGCTTATCCACATGTAGCACTACTACCGAAAAGCTCATGAGGGATTCTTCTTTGAAATTATTGAACTTCAATGCCTTTTAAAAATGATGTAACAGGTTATCTTAATTTCAGCTGTGTATAACAGCATTAATAATATCTCGTGGCTTACGTGCAGTAAGGTCAGTCAGTGTAGGTAAAGTACAAAGAAGTACTATTAGAAGCTTTATTTTTGTCCCAGCTGCCATCATATTCATCACAGGAGGAAGCTGCATTTTTTGAATTTTACTGATTTATGTAAGGAAGTAGAATTTTACCAGGGGTTTAAAAATAATATATATAAACAATCTTTAATGTATATATATATGAGAAACATTCAATGATACAACTGCATGAAGAAAAAAAAAAAAACAAACGTATTCTGGTCTACTTTCATCTCCCTCCACAACCAAACATAAACACATCTGCGGTTCATTTGAGCTGAAAAAAATAAAGTTAAGAGAACTGAAACAGCAGGTGGGGAAAGGGCAGAGCAGCTGGAATAGGCTGATATAAAACATTGCCAGATTTTCTACAACCTATTAAACTGAGAGGCCACTTTGGCTTTACATTTGAAAAATACAGACTTTATGTTCAGGAGAGCATAGAGAAATTTGTTTGCACTATTGAGATTAACCGTAACTCTAAATTCACGGTTCAAACTGGTTAGTAACAGTTCCAACTGAACACAACCGAAGGTGCAATGATTGTTTTAGCCAAAAGGAACTCAAGCAATCAACTTTCTTTTTTAACCTTACAACTCTCTTTCTGGAGGTCCATGTTTGTTTTTCCAAAATCCTTTTCAAGTAAAGCCAATTCCGTTAATTGCAACATTTATGACTTCCCATCATGTGCCCTCTAGATGTATGTTCCCTGCAAGTTTCTTCTGTGCTAATTCCAGTGTCAGTAGAGCTGCCGAGATTGTTTTTAGCTGCTCTCTAACAACAACTTCATCCTTAGTAGTAGGAGAGGGAAAAGTGCCATTAACAGAAGTTAGAACTTTTGAAGAGGTAGGACTTGACAGACCCAGGAGAGTAAAACAAAGAAAGGAAAAAGAAAAAAAGATACCAGGGCAAGTTCAAAGTAATGAGGAGGGCTGAGAAGCGCATGAAAACTATATTAAAGTTTTTAATATTTTTATTATTATTGCATAGGAAAAAATAGTTAATCATGGGAGACCTTTTGTAATATTAGAATATCAAATTCTGAATTCCTTTAAATCACATTTTAAAAGGCACATTTTCAGCAGTACTCCCATGATGAGGGTGCGGCTGGCATTTACTTGGAAAAATAAATAAACATAAATATTAGCACAGTGTAAATTAAAGCACAATGTAATCACTAAAACAGGTAGTTTGTGAAGCCACACCTGGCACATCTTTCCTTATTCATCCGGTAATAAAACCCTTAAATTAGTTTACATGAAATAGACCCTTCTTTTTTCTCCGTACTCCTGTGACACACCTTTCACATCCCCGGCCTTCAGCACCAGCACAGAACTCCAGCCACGCAAAAAGCTTTCAAGGTCAGACTCTGAGTGCACATCAGCCTCCCCAGTACAAGAACAAACCGTGCCGAGACAGTCAGGACTGACAGGAGGAGTCGGTACGTCAAAAGGCAGAAAAAGGGGTAACTCAAAGGAGGGTTACAGGATTTCCCCTGGTTTTATATATCCAGAGACCTAATCTTGCAAACAGTTGTTATTATCGCCATTTCCGTGCAAACCAACTCCAGTAGAGTTAACATTTGCATAAAATTACATTAAAAATGATTCTCTGATATTGCTAAGATTACGTGCCCACTAGGGCCACGTCATGAACCTCAGAGGTTGGATTATAGCATCCAGCTAGCTGGGAAGTGGGCAAGGAAGGAGGGCTAGTAATGACCATCCTGTAATTAAGATACAGGAATGGAAGTCCCAAAAGAATAGATTTTGGGGCTGGCTACGCTACAAAACTTACTACGTACCCTAGAGCCGCTGCACTTAATCACTTCAGTTCATGCAGCTTTACAGTGAGCTCAAATGCTGTCTACTCTAATAAATTTTAGTCGTATTTGTTGCTTGGTATTTTTGTACTTGAAGTATTTCTAGAAAAAGAACTATTTAAGGGTTCGTAATCACGGTTATCTCAAGCACTCCCATTGCTAAAAAAAAAACCACCTCCTTGACTTCAAGGAGTTGACTATTTAGTAAGATAGAAACTATTGCAACATCAGGCGATTTGCTTGCTGCTAGGTGAAGTATTTAATGTTCAGAACAACTCTTTAATGCTTCATGCTGTAGATAATTTAGGTGGTGCTCAGATGTCCATTATGTAAATTCCACCTCAAAGTATATTTCAAGAATAATGTAAACACAGAAATATAAAATTCAATTAATTCCATTGTCATCTAGGTTAAAAGACATTCAGATGAGTAATTTTGCTAAATAACTTTGCTACTTACATGAGAAAGATGAGCCAAAAGTTGCCTTGAGTTTCAAAGACCTGGCACATCAAGTTTCCACCTGAAGTTAAGCTTTAATCCCCAGCTTCTATCAGAAGGCACTTAAGACTGATTTCTATACAAATGTCTTCGACACACACATACTCAGCAGCTGTATTGCTGTTGCTTGGAACTCTGCGTGCAACAGGCTGACCAGCAGATGTCCCCAAATTCAACATAATCACAGTTAAAGCTTCAAGAACTCTTTACAGCCCTTTTGAACTTTCCAGAGCATGAAGCACCACAGGCCATGAATGCTCTCACCACTTATTTGCATTCATGTAAAAACCAAAGTTCTGAACTAGGGAATACCTGACTGCTGACACAAAGCATCTTTTTTGGCATAGAAAAATTTTCTGGATATTGGTTCAATTTTTATGATACACAGCCTATTGATTGATTTTTATCAATCAATCAATCTCTTGTTGAAATTTTTATTTTCAAAAGCATTCAATTTGAGCAATCTTCCCCCACAAATATAATCCATAACACTTTTTCTTCAAAGTTTAGGTAGAGTCAAGACTTTTTCCAAACTACTATCAATTATTTTGACTTGGATATTACCAAACTCACAAACTGCCTTTTTTTTTTTTTTGTGGCGTACCCGATACTGCTTTTACCCTTCTCTCTATACCTCCTACCTTGAATTCCAGAGATGTTAGAGATGTCAATCCACGAGGTTGTAAGCCTCCCGTACTTGTATTAACGTACAGATGTAAACCTGCTGGGTTACACTCATGTTTCTGAGCAGAAGGGCTATTAGGTGCTGGGAAACAGAAAGGTCCTCTTTTCTCAAGCAAGCTCCTGAAGAACACCTTTGGCGACTGCGCTTTTCTTGCTCAAACATTCCTGTTCCTCAAACATGCTTTTTTTTCCTTATGGTTGTACTTGCATTTTTGTGTCCGTAGATAACGTGAATGCTTCAGTTCTCAACCTCGTACTCAGGAAACCTTGAAGTAAATGTCAAATGGGTAATTTCTGCCCCCAGCCACACTGATGACCAGAATGTCAAGTTGCTAATAGGGTTGCTTACATAAAGATTTGCTTCTTAAGAGGGCTGAAAACTAATTCTTCTAACTTCACAGTTAGAAGAATCAAGCACTATTTAACACAACTGCAAACAAAAGCATGAAAACACACACCCATAAAGTTAAAGATGACTGCACGGAATTAGGTTGACTGGCATTGAAAGTTTATCCAATTTAGAAATATATACATTTATATAAAAAAGGAAATTAATATGAAAATTTACATATTTGCAAATCTTGTATTACACAGGTAAAGACAGTGTTATGTTTTATATGTATTGGATTACATAAGATTTTTAAACTGTAAAAATACTTAAGATATACGATTGCAAAAAAAATTTAAATATCTGGATAGGACCCCAAAAGATAGCATATTCTATGACTGTCACGACACAATGAAGTCAATTATTCCCAGACAGAGAAATATTTACTCTGTAAAGAGTATGTGTAAATACTGCAAGAAAGTAGAGCTTGCTCTGATACACATATCGCTCTACGCCAAAAGTATTTTTTTTAATGTTTTGTTGGCTGAGCCTTCTTTACAGAGTGGATCATATCAGAGTAGTGAACCACAGGGGTAATCATTTAAAATAAAAGCAATTAGAAACTTTAAATATCCAATATTCAACAGAATCTGACATTTAAGTACAGCATGTTCTTTACTTTGTGCACATAAAGCCAATTACAGTGGGAACAGAGATCAAAAGACTGATACTGTGTATGTCTGTCTCTTGGGAAAGACAGGCAGTTTCTTGCCTCTATTCCTATGTATGGCCCTAATATTGCATCTCTAATCCCTTAGGGATTAAATCGTGGTTTACTGTTTTCATAAACAGAAAATTCTTATTCTGTAACATTTTTGTTTATGTTTTTAAAGGTGTGATCATCTAACTGTAACAAGATTAAAACTGATGTATAAACTTTGAAAAAGTAACAGAAAAAAAAATGAAGTTTATAGATACAGATTAAGACTGATAGAAACTACCTTCTCCTGTTTCAGGAGTGGCAGCATTTTTTTTTTTAAATTATTTTTACAAGTCTTGTAAACATTATTAGAGATATGAGACCATTATAGCAGTACTTTTGAATCAATAGTTACTTAACAGGTCATTAAAATAAATTTATCCTCTTCATTAAAATTTAGGAACAGGATAATTTCGGCATAAATATCAAGCCCTTGGTTTTAGGATACCTGTCCCCAAAATATTAGGGAACAAATATTACAAGCACCCTGCTAACACTTATCACTGATAGTCTGACAGTGCTGATAGCATGTTAAAACCAGGTTTTATTTTGTATGCAACTACAAGCTGTGTAGTGATTTTAATAATGGAAAAACTCTTGTTGAACTACAAAAAGTAGCCTAAGGCACTATGTTTTGCCCTAGAACAGAACAGAATGCAACGGGCTGACAACCTGATCCTAAGAGACTGACCACAAAGAATTACGGAGCGATAGTGGCATCACACTCGTGGATTGAGGCTTTTTTCTGTGCTCTGTTTTAAAGTACCTTTCATGATGGCAAAGTGAGAGAAAACCGCTAGTCAGAACCTGGGGTATTCAGAAGACTCCCTCTCTTCCCCCTTAAGATTAAGTAGACCTTTCTCTTTTCTCATACCCAATAAAAATACTAGTGGCACCTGCCCTTCCAGTTCAGAACTAAGTAACAGGGCTCCCATGAAGGCCGAGTCAACGTTATCCCATGCCTATCTGAAGCACAGGGCATTAAGTAATACGTGGGACTCCACAACCGTATCAGTTGGCAAGACATTGGAATCTGAAGTTACATTTATGTATGAGGTGGCTTAAAAAAAGCCACATTTCCTGATCATCTTTACCTATAGTAAACCAAATTATTTGCACAGAAGTCTTCATTATTTACATGTCAATTATACAAGTAATATAAAAACTCTCAGTTAAGCACCAGTACTGACCTAAGGAGTAATACCTTCAAGTCAGAATATTAGTATTCCCTGTCACAAGTAAACTCTGATATCATTTCAGAAGTTTCCCTTTTCTGTGTTGGTTGTATTCAGACCACTTCTTTGTTCATGTCCATCTTCCTTCCACCTTCCAAGGAGATTAGTAATAGCAGCAGTTTTATCAAAAGTGTAGGTATCGTGGACAGCTTTCACAGCACAGTCAGTTCAGATCTTTTTAAAATAAAAGACCATGAAATCCACTGATCTGGATTGTAAGGTTTTACCAAGAGTTCATTAAGTGGAGTCTATATATTCACGTGAGAATAAACAGTTGAAACCAACTCAGTTTCTGTGTGCAAACACTGGGATGTCCAAGAGCGGCAGAAGTCCACATTGAATTGGAGGGCAGGAGGGTACCCATTTGTCCTAAGTGTCAGTCAGTTACACCAGTCATGTCACCTTGGTTTAGAGTAACCGTACGGACACCGAAGAATCAGGCTGTCGTGGCTAGGTAAGACATGAGTGCTATAGTATTCCACCAAACTTCCCATGTTCAAAAACATGATGTCTGAATCCAGGTAAAACTTGCAATCCTGTTGTAGAACAAAACCATATGGAATCATTCACTGTGATTTTTTCAACTCGGTGTTGAAAGAAAACCCCAAAACATCACCATCAGGACTAGGAAGTTCTTTCAAACAAGCTATTGCTTTGCAAACTAGTCACACAAGGAAGACCAAATTAAACTCAGGAATTCACTATTCCATCCTTTAGGTTTTGACTAGAGCTGAAATTTAGATTTGAACATTTACAGCTAGTTTGTCTTTTGGATGATACAGCAACTAGGAAGCCCAGATCCAAGTGCTCAAACTCTCAACCTAGACTGGATATTTCTAAGTCAGCTTATTTTTACTTTTAGGAAAGGCAAGAAGTTTAGACTTTGACTTATTAGTTCCTACACATACCTATACAGATGCACACTTTATACACATGAAATTCATACATGTATACATGCACATATATACCCATACACACATAGTACTGCCACTAACCTTTTCAAAGATTCTGTAGTTTCTCACTTTTTCTGCAGATTGATCCCATACAACCAATACCTTGAAGAAGAAAAACACAACACACTCAGTCTATGCTAATAAGCTCTAAGTCAATGGGTTATTAAGGAATTGGTTACAATCCAGCCTAAGAAAAAACCCAAACAATCACTGAAATTATGATAGCGATTGTCTCAGATTTTCTTGCTTTAAGGAAAGAGCACATCTAAATTGTTAAGTACTTTATCATATGAAAGATATAGTATCTCTAAATCAAAAAGCTTTTTGGGGGTAGATGCAGCAATTGCCAGTTACCTTTCCAGGCTTAGTAGATGAGTTCCTAATACAGTACAATCCATTTTGTGGTTGTCCCCGTGGACTACTGGCTTTAAATGTCCTAAAAAGAATACAGCAATTACATGTGTTAGCATTTTCTCAATCACATCAGTAAAATGCCTAGATTATTAAAATTCTTCTGATAAATCTCTATTTCAGTTTAATAATTTGTAGTACATCATAGCTGAAAGAATTTCACTATTCTAGCATGTGAAGCAGCAACACAGCACAGAAGATCTGGCTTTCTGTCCTATCTAGTATCCTGGCAGAACAACCTTCTCCAGATGGAGCAAAATCATTTTGCCAGTAGCGCAAAGCATTTGCAGTTGATGCATGAGCACTGAACTAACTCCTTTAAAAAGCATCTGCCATATTAAAGGATTTTAAATACTTTTATTATGCTTTTAAACTGTACCCATCAAAATGATCTTTGGACTACTATTCAGTGCAGGTTTTTGCAGGACCTCTAAGCAACTGTTTTAAAGTCTCATTCTACCTTTCAACTTCGAAGGATTCAGAGGTATTAAGAAACACTGAAGCAGGCAGCCCAATCTGTAAAAAATGTGAAAGAAATAAATCACTGTGTAAGTCAATTGACAACTCAAAATACTGGCAACTTTTTATGCAAATAAGCTACAGCCATCAGTATCTGAAATTATTAGTGGTGACTTAATCTTTACTTTATGCTTCTTCCTCATTTACAGCCAATATTAAAATCCAGAATTTACCAAGGCAAGCCTTAAAGCTCAAAAAAAAAAAAAATCAAACAGCAATGTGTTTTTAGAAAGGTGGGTTTTCTTTTTTTCCTGAAACACACATTTAAATAGTTCCCAAAACTATGCTTAAGCCAGAAAAAAAATGCTCTTTGAGAATGGATCATCTACTTGATCTTACTTTTTCATAGTCATCATCAGAATCATCATCAGGTTGGTTTGGCTTGGAGGGTAGTGCTGGTTTTTCAAATGAGAAGCTTCTAAAACTCTGCCCATCTGGTGGTGATCTCCTGGCAGAAACAGATCAAAAACTGAAGGACATCTCCTCAGAACAAATTTACACAAAACACTAAAGGGAGAATAAAACTAGAACTGAAAAACAAGTGTCTTTCTTGTACAGTCTTAGAGTTTATTACTTATTCTTCAGAGCATCTAAATGATCCAATGAACAAAAATATTTTCATCTGACTCACCACCATAACTAGTTCCACATCCCTTACTAAAGCTGATCTTAACATAAAATGAAACATGTTTCCAACTCCACAGAAGCCTAAAACTGGTTTTGCGGTTCATTGAGGTTCTGACTTCAAACATTAAGGCTTCTTGTTCACTGCAAAAGCTTTTAAGTCTTTAAGACAGATCTAAAAACAAATGAACTACAAAAATTTGGTGTGATTCTTTTTTTAAAGTTTAGTTTGTCTACTATTTCTGAACTATTTCAGAAGCTAAGCTGATTGCAAAATTTCCAAACAACAAATACAGAGACACAAAAGCACAACACTGTGAGGAAGAAAGGGATGGTGCAGGGAAGAGAAACAGATTTCTCAGATTCATGTTGCTCTGTGTCTGTCAACAATTAACTAAATTAATAGTGCATCGTATTTGCATACTTACTGTAACTGGGGACACGAAGACTTCTCTGGTTTAGGTTTGACTCCAGGGGGCTGGTGGCTTGGCACAGGTGGCTTTGGGAGCACTGGTGGCACAAACAGTCCAGGTTTACCGTGTTCTCTTGGCACTTTGGGCTCCACTGGTTTCTCAGTAAGCTGTGACAGCTTGGGTTTACTGCTTGGTAGTGGAGGAGGAGTTCGTGGTGACAGGTTTAAGGTTTTCAGCTTCTCGCATCCTTCTGGGGTAGCAAGAACTTGAGCTAGAGGCAGAGGCTCTGGAGGCAACGAGCATGATTCTTTGACACACAGAGGCTTTTTGAAAAGAGGTAGAGGGGGTACAGGAGGCAGCTGTTCACTTGGTCTCCGACACGGGGATTGAATCTTTAGATTAGGTAACTGGGGTTCTCTCACATTTAAGTGATCCTCTAGTTTGATATCAGGTAAGCTTCTTTTAGGAGGTGGTGGTGGTACCGGCACAGTAGATTTGCCAGCAAAGGAATTCGCCCTTGATTCAGCATAGGAAACTTTTCTGACATGAGGAACTGGTGGAGGCGGGTAGGCTGGAGGCAGGACCATATCTACAGAAAGAAAACATCCAAAAAACATGACACACTGTGGGGAAATACAGTATGTCAAGAAACAAGACTTTTCATATCTATTTTCTATGGGATTTAGGATGTTTCATTGGCATCTAGACTGATAGTACCCAAAATGATCGATAAGCATTCAATTTTCAGCATAATTCTGAATGTTATATGTAGTAAACTTGCACAATTTTTATTCACGCATAGCTTATGATGACTTCACAAAGAGTCTTCCCTCTGCTAAAAATAAAGAAAACTACATCAAAAGCATTACCCCTCCTCCAGACTGATGACCAGATACAGGTCCAGGGCAGGAGGCCCGCAAGAAAACATGGCCTTAAAGGCATGTAACACTGTCTGTACATTTTTACTGCTCTTCCAGGAACTTTTGACCCTAAATGCTTCTCAAAATTAGATAAATTAGATACCTGTGCATCATACTTCAGTTATTTTACCACCTGCAATGCTAATTTTTACTGCTCTTACCAGGAACTTTGACCCTAAATACTTCTCAAAATTAGATACCTGTGCATTATACTTCAGTTATTTTACCACCTGCAATGCTTAAGATATGACCAAGACAAAATAAGAATCATGCATTCTACATGAATATTGCCTTCATTGATGGCCTTTCATGGGGATGGGTTTTTTGTGAAAGGAATGAAAGAACTCACCATCTTTCAGTATGTCAGAAGTATCTGGCTGCAAGTAAGATTCATCCTCTTCCTCCTGGTCATAATCTGCAGATAAAAATCTATGTGTCAGACTCTGATAAGTACTCCCGGAACAAAGAAAAAGGACTGAGTACTTATTGCTTTTTAATAAACAAATATTTTTCAGTTTGGGTTTGTTTGTTTTTTTTTTTTAAAAAAAGAGGTGAACAAGTTGAAAATCTTGATGCACCCCTGTGCTATTTAGAACAGATTTTTCCTTAAACTTAAGATATGACCAAGACAAAATAAGAATCATGCATTCTACATGAATATTGCCTTCATTGATGGCCTTTCATGGGGATGGGTTTTTTGTGAAAGGAATGAAAGAACTCACCATCTTTCAGTATGTCAGAAGTATCTGGCTGCAAGTAAGATTCATCCTCTTCCTCCTGGTCATAATCTGCAGATAAAAATCTATGTGTCAGACTCTGATAAGTACTCCCGGAACAAAGAAAAAGGACTGAGTACTTATTGCTTTTTAATAAACAAATATTTTTCAGTTTGGGTTTGTTTGTTTTTTTTTTTTAAAAAAAGAGGTGAACAAGTTGAAAATCTTGATGCACCCCTGTGCTATTTAGAACAGATTTTTCCTTAAACTTTTATGTCAATTAAGAAAGCCATCGCTTACAACAGTGAGAGATTAATTACAATGCGCATTAATTTTTTTCCATCTTTCAAGTTAAAATTTACTTTCTGGTGACACCTCCTAGTGTTATAGACTTCCTGAGAAAAATTCAAATCAGTTGCAGAGGCACAACTACATGGATGCACTGGCAAAACCAGTTGGAAAAAAAACAACCCCCAAAACCTAACTCTGACACAGAAACATTGATGATTTTGCAATACCCTAACCTTGACACAGAAACATTGATGATTTTGCAATACAGAAGCTTAAGCAAGCCTAGTGATCTACAGAACAATTAATTCTTTTGCCTCGCTCTGGCAACAAAAAAAAAATGGTGAAAAAGTTGAAAATCTTGATGCACCTCTGTGCTATTTAGAACAGATTTTTCCTTAAACTTTGATGTCAATTAAGAAAGGCATCGCTTACAACAGGGAAATTAATTACAATGCGCATTAATTTTTTTCCATCTTTCAAGTTAAAATTTACTTTCTGGTGACACCTCCTAGTGTTATAGACTTCCTGAGAAAAATTCAAATCAGTTGCAGAGGCACAACTACATGGATGCACTGGCAAAACCAGTTGGAAAAACCTAACCTTGACACAGAAACATTGATGATTTTGCAATACAGAAGCTTAAGCAAGCCTAGTGATCTACAGAACAATTAATTCTTTTGCCTCGCTCTGGCAACAAAAAAAAAATGCACCACAACAAACAGCTTAAATGGTTTCAATGTTGCCTCTAAGTCAGAATAATCAAGTCATGAAAAACATGCTACTTCTAGGCACTAATTTCTCATAATTGACTATAATAGGAGCCTCAAGGACAACGTGCAGTATTTCACCAGAGAAATGCATTAAAAAAAAAAAAGAAAGGTAAGAATATCTGATAAAAATCAGTTAGCTCTTCTAATTTTCCTAATTTAAACTCCTGCTAGGCCTCTTAACATAACTTGTATTGCATACAACCCTTCCCTCCCATAAACACAGGAGTACCTAACTATAATCCTACATGAAATGCTGATGAGTCTGTTTTCCTCTGCTTTGCAGCAACCGAACCGGATTTCCTAAAGACTCACTCCTGCCTTTTTGTCCTAGTCAGGAAAAATAGCAAGGAATTTCCTTTCAGGAAATGAGAGTACTTGCTCCGATCAACCCTGCCGGTAGAAATCTGAAAGGGCAGATGGGCAGAGGCCTAGCAAAGGGCCTACATTGAACCGTGAGGAAAGGTCTCTCATTTTGGATTTCACTAACACATTTCTTGACTACGGAGTCAGCTGCTGAAACACGCTGCGAGTGCCCACGGGACAGACTTTCTGTAATGTCCTCACTTCTAATTTAAAAATAAACACACCGAGCCCGAAGTGTTTACTATGAAACAACAGTAAGTTAGCAAACTTTGAATGAAAAGGCTATGCTAAGAGTGAGATTTTCAGAGCTTTCCTTCAAAGAGTTACTCAGTTTGAAAGGCACTGAAGAACGTTATGTGCATTTCACATGGTCCCATCCTATGCATAATGCAAGATCTACCTGAACTGGAGGGATGATCAGTCCTGTTTCATACTCAGGAGACCACAACACAGATGCAACAACATCCCCGTCTGTGTGACTGCTTGTTTTGCAGGACAGGTGAATTAATTTCACAGTCTAGATCGGAGATAACTAGCTCCACAATGTTTTACTGCATTGTCTCTGCAAGTTTTCAGAACATACTTTGAAGTGACTAGTATCCCATTGTTATAATTATATTCTATTATTGTGGATAATATTTGATTATCATAATAAAGATCACTTTCTATTTCCCCACTATGACCTATGGACATACTCAGGAGTTTTATCTTTTTGCTAGATCTAAAAAGTTCCCAACATGCAGTCTTCATAAACATTTTAAATAGCATTAATAGTGTCAGACACCTCCTTGAAAGCTCTGAACTTCTTTAGTTTTCATTTATTTTTATGACTAGTTTATGCCACTGAATATCTGCTTCTGATTTAAAATTGTAACTACACACCTTGTGAAAACAAGAATTTATAGTGGAGAATGGATCAGTTTGCTTAAAATATGGGAGTAGTTCCAGAAGAATCCAGAAGAAAGAAATAAGCAAATAAATAAATCTAATTTAACAGTGTATAAATTTGTCACCTTCATTATCTGCTGAATGATGAGAATACTTGATATCAATGGGACGTTCTACTGAGCCGTAGAAACTGTCTGCATCAGAACCAGAATCACTGCAAAAGAGAAGACAGAGTTCCTTCTGCATCACTGTGCTACGTGTCTTGGGACAGTAAACATGTCTGTTAGCAGGACTGCAGCACTGGAAAGCAAAGCTGGAAAACCAAAAGCAATCTATTCCTATTTCCCAATTAACAGCCAGATATGTTGCTGCTGTCATTTTAAAGTGTTTATTTGTTTTACACACAGTTCTCTTAGTAAAAAGATTTATTTTTGTCTTGGCATTCTTTCAACTATGTTTTAGGACTGCCTTTCATTCTTGGACCTTACTGCACCTGTTTTTATTTAATAATAAATTACTTGCAGGTGCAAAGAGCCTAAAATACCACTGCCACAAGCTAGTGCAAAAGCAATAGAAAGCAAATAAAGATTAAGAGTTGATACCTGAATTCTGTCATTGTTTCTTTCTTCTCATGGTAGTGATCAATTTCCCTCCTCAGGGATAGCATCCAATTCTAAATAAGAATAAAAATACAACATTCAACACATCCATCTTTAAATCATTAAACAAAGATGCACAGTAACTGTCCTCTGTAAGAACAGAGCAACTCTGCAAGGAACCTATATTGAAATAGTATTTATCCATGACTTTATATACTCATTATCAGTCAAAACGTTTTGACTATCTAAAATGCTATATGAATGTGTTAAAATATTAACATTTCAGTTTGTGAATTTCAAGCTGATATTTCTAAGACCAGGTATTTGTTCATAGTATGTTTATAGGTGAAAGATTTCACTGAAAATAAACCAAGCAATATGGAGAAAACCCTGCCATCTCGTAGGTCACTTACAGCCATTCCCTAAATTACAACTTGAACTAATAGTAAAATAGTTAAAACTTCAGGCGTGATTTTCAGAGGACCTCAAAGAAGTAGATATACAAACTTCAGTGGAAGCTGCACATCCAGTTCATTTATATTTTAGGGAAGTCCAAGATTCACTTTCCGCTTCAAGGAAAATTATATTGCAAAAAGAAGAAGAAAGTTACCTTTCTTTCATCTTCAGAAGACGCTGAAAAAAACCACGTCCTGTGTTTCTTGCTAATGTGAACTAACTTGAAAGGAAACACGTTGCTTGATGTTGTCTCCTCAGCTGCCCGCATAACCCTGAGAAACAGAATAACCAATACATAAAGACCTTAATTCTGCTCTGCAAGTCATAAAGTTCTGAGAGGAAGCAGTTTTACTGGACAGTTTTGCCTTAACAAAAATTAACCCCCGAGCCCAGGAAAACGCCACCAAAATCCCCAGATGTGCATTCATTGTACTCCTCCATTAAAGTGGTAGAAAAGACAACGCAGGAGTGCTGACAGTAGGAAAAGCACTATTAAACCACGAGCCAAACTTATAAATGGGTGTTTTCACCTGTTCAATAGTTTTAATGAATTCTATTAATTCACAAGCTTCACCCCACAGCAAGAATTACTTAGGGTGCCTGTGATCCTTATTTCAGAAAGACACAGAGCAGAAATCAAAACACAGGTTGCCCACGAGAATAAATGAGAACTAATATTAAAAGTTAAGTTAATTTTTCCACTTCTCCCTTATAAAAATTTTCTTTTCACTTTACTATTTTGAAACATGCATAACTCAACCTCTTTCACAAACTGCATTAGATACGTTTCTTTTTATTTTTTCCCCCAGAGGAGTCTCAAATGAGGAAATTCCTTAAACATGCAGAAGTTTGGTTTCAAATGCTGGCTATAAGGCTTTGGAACAAATAAGGAGACTAAAATCCTGAGACTGTGAGGAATCTAAACATAACTAAGATTTACTTGGCATAAGCCATAGAGAAATCTGATTGAAGTTTTTACGATCATCACTGGGGCTTTCTTCCCTGCTCCTGTACTGTTTAACTCACTGATTTCCTTACATAATACAGTATTTCCATCATACTTAGGGAAGGTGGTTTGGAAACACAGAAAAAAATATTATCAGAGACATTTGACATTTGGTTTGGTACCCAATCAAATAACATTGTTCTCACCTTTCAATACTTAAAGAGGGCTTTTAAGAAAGATGGGACAGACCTTTTAGCAGGGCCTATTTTGACAGGACAAGGGGTAATGATTTTAAATTAAAAGAGTGTAGATTTAGACTGGATATAAGGAAGAATTTTTTTTACAGTGAGGGTGGTGAAACACTGTAACAGGCTGTCCAGTGAGGTGGTAGATGCCTGGAAGATTCCTGAAAACATCCTTTTTTCATCCCTAGAAACATTCCAGGTCAGGCTGGATGGGGCTCTGAGCAACCTGATCTAGTTGAAGATGTTCCTGGTCATTGCAGGGGGGGTTGGACTTGATGGCCTTTAAAGGTCCCTTCCAACACAAACTATTCTATGAAAAAATATATCTAATAAACACCCTGAAGCTGCTGTTAAGAACAATGTCAACTGCAAAAATATTTCAGAATTAGAAATTGCATGTTTTTTTAGAACCTCAATCCTACTTTTAAGATGAAGGTTACAGTTTTCTGCATCTGCCCAGTCCAAAAGAAAGCCACAAAAGGAACTATAAGTTATTTCGCTAATGTAAGGCTAATAAGGATGTTAATGTGGGAAATACCCATGGTACAGCTGGGAGGAATAGTAGCAATAGGCACCACTACACATTTTGAGTCACCACTGAACACAGCACTTTCTCATCTCGTCTGCTCTTAACGCATAAAGGCTATTGGATGAAAACTGCAAAATAAAAGTCCAGGGAAGCCTTAGAGTGATTTGTTTTCACACAGCCTCATGCAACTACCAAGTCTAACAAATTCTTTTGCTTCAAATTCTTTTTCAATAATCCTTATGTCTGTGCATAATAGCAACCAAGACCCGGGCCCAATTCCAAGCAAGGTCTCTACAAGGCTGGTAGAATGCAGATACATAAAAAGCAATGAGACAGTCCCTGGCATTTACAAATTCCATGGTATTTTTTACATTAACATGATCACAGAAGCTAGTGTCATGGCCAACTTACAGTATAGGTTGCTTAAACAAATTAATCCTGAATCTTCAATTCGCTACAGTGTTTACAACTGCATTCCTATAACATTTGCCATTGTTAAGGTCAGTTAGAAAGCTCTCGCATTCTAATAACAGATATTTCCTTATTCCAAAAGTCTGAGAACATTATGCAGTACAAGAATAACATTTACAAATACAGTAAAATTGCAGTGCAGACCAATAATGTGATACTTCTCTACATTCTATTAGTCCTTTCTTAGCATCAATTACAACAGCAATTTCCGTAAAGTTAGGCTGGACTTCTATGAGTAGGCCTCATACGTACGCTGCACTCAGACAAATTCTGATAGTACTAGTTAACTTAAAAGCCATTATTTTTGTCATTGACTTAAAAAGCAAACATTAAGATTTATAACATGTAGGGAAATGCCTGACATTTCGCACGTTCATTCTCTCATCACTCCTGTAGTTGATTTGATTTTGACACTAATTAGTGTTACTGAGTCAGTAACTCCATAAATAATCCGTTCTCATTCCTTTCTGGTTTTGTGACAATCATTGAAATCACTAGAGAACAAAGACCGTTTGTCTGAAAGAATCCACATGTATCTGCCCGTGCAAAGTCTGTATTAAGTCAGTAACAAGAGTAAACCCATCTCAATTTAGCAGCTTTTCTGGTTAAATTTCAAAAGATGAAGCCTATACTTGCAAAGCACAGGAAACATCATATATACAATTTGAAAGGATTATATCTCTTGGAATCTGAGATCAGTGCTTAACCCAAACAACAGATGTAGTTGAGTTTAACTTAGTTGGAAATGAAAACCATAGCCCCCTGAATTAAGTAAAAGGAGCTTGGGTGTTAAGTAAGTTCTTTGGCACTCACCTGTTGTAACCATTCAAAGAAAATGCACCCTGTGGCGATGCAGACGTGCTGCTCTTAAAATAGTAAATACATCCCTCATGGATAATCACAAATCTCAATGGCCCTGAAGAGATAAAGACAAAAAGTGAGCAAAATATAAATCCGAAGGCAGTACACTAACTAGAACCTCTTAACTTGGGTGGAATTATTGTTTAAGGTTTTAGTAATCATTATAAAAGAGCACAAACTAGTTAAGTGAGAGCTTGTTGATGACCAGCCACATGGTAAAGCTGTCCATTCACAGAGTTTCAGGACTAAGTGGAGTATTTGCTTCTCTCATTTGAGAGGCAGCTGATCTGATAACTTCAAAAGAAGCTTAAGAGACTGCAGGTCTGACCTCCACCTGTGCTCCTTTACTAGAGGAATAAGCTAAAGTAAGAATGCAACCTAAAACAACATGGGAGAAAGGTAGCCACAACCTACAAATACATATTTATGGCCATCCCCAAACCATGATGGTATCTCCCTCTCTTCTTTCATCTCAAGTACGTAAAGCTGCCAATAAAATCTTTTTTATTTTTTTTTAAAAGGGGCCAACATTTCTTTATCAAAGGCAGTAATCTTTGTCCTTAACTATATAAGTATAGTTTAGTTGTAAACAGGGAATAGCAAATGAATAGCGTATAAATAAGATTAAAATCTTAAGTTTTCTCCATGTAAATAGATTCTGATTCCAGAAGCAATTACTGGTTTTAAGTACAGCCTAATGTTGGCAGTGAGAAAATTTCCATTTCACAACAGCCGTAGGAGATGGGGATATTTTTCCAGTACAAAATAGCCAATTGGAAAAAAGCTGAGTACTAATTTCTTTCAGAAAAGAGCATTTGAAATTGATACATATCCTGGGAATCTATTTCTGTCTTTAAAATCTTACCTGTGAAGGACCAGACAAGAAGTTCAATCAAGTAAAAGAAAATCAACCACATTTATCATCTAAGATTTACAGTTCCAAAAGAACTAAAGGAAATTCTTTCAATATGGCTCTTTCATACATGTATTCCAATAAAACTGTAATCCATTACAGACAAAGTAAGTGAAAGAACAGCTTCATTAAATAGTCTGTTAACAGGAAATGTGTTAATGGCCCTAAAGGCAAGCATTTAAAACATTTAATTTACTTAATAACTCATTCAACTTACACTTCAAGATCTGCAGCTGGGTGCCTCCTTTTTTATGAAGATACCCTGATTTGGTCACTCCTCCAGGCATTGTCAAAAGGTTTTGTGCTCCAATTGCCTTCATTGGGACTGGCCAGACCTGCTCCTGCGAGGCCATCGTTCTGCAATGTAGAATAATTAAAAACAGTTTAAAACTTATATTTTACTTTAAGGAAGGAGTACTGAGAAATGAAGCTTGTTTCCTTAAACAAGTTTTCCAAACAACTAACATGGTTCAGCAGTCAAGTATGTAGCACAGACGGGGTGTTCATAGATTCCAGGAAGTTTGTAATGTATAAAAAACCATGCTGCAAAAAGTCCCGAATTATTTTTATACAGCTCTCAAGAGTGATTGACAGTCATTGAAGAGTGCTTATTAAATGTTATTTAAGTATTTATATTTTAAAAATGCCTCAGATAACACTATGAGACTTAGGCAGGTGACTAGAAAGAAAATCAGTCTTTTCTCCCAAGTTCTATGCCACACGTGTATATACAATATAATTTTCTGTATAATGAGGGTATCAACAGTCATATTTTAGGAACTGCAGTATCCAATACTACTTACTCCTTACAGTTACATGTTTTATTCTGAATGAAAGCAATAGTATATAATCTCATACTGTATGTCATATGTGACAGCATTCTCTGCAAATGAAGTTTATTTCAGATTGCTGCAGACTACCATTTAGTTTGATATATCAATTATTAATACCATGCTCCACTGAGCACCTTTGCAGTTACAACTCTTTCTGCTACCATCTTGAACAGGTTACCAAGAAAATTAGTTACTTAGTAGTATTTTTTTCTGATATATCAGTGAAACCTTTCTTTGTTTTTTCAACCAGTAACAGAACTAGGCTAAAAATCCTACTGTAATACAGTAAAAAAATCATTCATGAACTGAATGGAAAATTTGACCTAGACATAAAAGGGTTTGTTATCCTCAGGTGCAGGGCTAGAGACTTTTTCTGGTAAGAGGCAAACGACTGAAGTTTCAGTTAACTAGTTTCTGATAAAGGAATGATGGTTTAGAACTAAAAGTTGTTAGCAGAGAACTGAAATCTAACGGATCCCGTTTGCTTCTCCTTTCCCCAAAAGGGGCAGTACTGAAAGTCCACAGTGTAGCTCAGCACAGGAATCTAAGAGCCTACGGCACAACCCACCCACCCCAGCACGAGTCGCTCCAGCCTAAGATGGCAACTTGAAGTACCCCTACTGAAAAGAATAAGCAAATGATACAGTTTTGTTGAGGGATTAATTGCAACAGTAGGGTACCTATCCATTGCATGTGTCTTAGCAAAAACAGAAATGCAAGTCTTTCAGTGGATCAGCTTTGGATTTAGATCTAACCACTTGCCCTTTATTGAGGATGCATGTTTGGGAAGGAGTGGAAATCACTGACAATTTCTACCAGGAGAGTTTAAATTCAATTAAAGTCTCTAGGCAACCTAGAAAATTTAATCACAAATATTAGATTTTCGTCCCCAGTGTTACAAAACAGGCACAAGCAGAGAAGATACGATCCAAGGCCCCTAGAAAGGTTCTCACAGCAGGCACTGCAAGGCACCGTGGTTTCCCAGTTTTCCTCCGCACCTTCCCACCCACCAAAAGGTAAGTTACTTCTGTTGTATTCAGCTATGTCCTTCCTTCTGCTCTTTCCTCCCTGTTCTTATTACATGATTGAGATCTTTCCAAGCTGAGTTGTTCCTTCCTCCTCCCCCACAATGAAATTTCTAGCAACGGCAATATGTTAACAGGTCCAAGAAGTGGCTACGCACAGATATTTTAAGCCTTTAAGAATTAAAAAAATAGTAATAAAAGTTACCCTCTCCCCCCAAAAAATAGGAAAAAAAAAATCCTTCAAATCAGTTCTCCACATTTTCACATCTTGCAGAAAAGTCAAAGTGAGGGAAATGGAGAGCATTAACCAGCTGGCTACAGGCACCAAACCACACTGCAGTACTGCTAAGCGTGATGTCCTTGAAATGAGGACTGCAAAGGCAAGTCCTGGGCTAAACTTGTCTTTTAAGAACAGGCACATCAACATTCAAACATTACTAATTAATTCACGATTAGGTTATTTGAGTCTGTTTCCAGTTACATTCAGGGAAAAAGATTAAGTAAAAATGAACCTTTTTATTAAGACAAAGATCAAGAAAACTGAAATCAGAGTATATCTCCTTAACATCAGTATCAATGCCACCCAACAATTTCAAATTCATCATGGGTCTTCAAATCCTGTGAGCTTTTACTACAAAAAAAAAAAAAAAAAAAAAAAAAAAAAAAAAAAAAAAAAAAAAAAAAAAAAAAAAAAAAAAAAAAAAAAAAAAAAGAACAAGAAAGGACTTAAGGACCCAGCCTTTGTTGTGCAACAGTTTCAGTGCTGGACTTAGGTTGAAAACAAACCAGGAGAGGCAGAGTTAAATATCTCAGAGAGGTTATCCAAAACAAGCAGTAAGCTGAGATTTCTAGGAAGCCAACAACAAACATGGGACAAGGGTATCCCACCCTAGGTCAATACAGAAAACAGAAATATTTGACTATGCCCTGTTGGCCTTCTGTAGGGGAATAGACTAGTTAGACTACTCACTAAAGTGTGCCTGTATGGGGTGCTTTCTCCTTCACCTGAAAAGCCAGAATATCAGGCAAACAGAAAAAGAAATAAATAAGTAAATCACGGAAGCAGAGGGGCAAGCAGGGAAAAAAAAATAAAAATCCAGTTTTACAGTGTGATGACTACAGAATGTAACTGAAGGGGAAGGACAGCAGAGTATCAAGTTCTGCTTCCTCTATTCACAATCATTTCTTACTTTTGACGACTCATTATAAAACAGTCCTGAGAACAGAGACCAAATCTCAGAACTTCCCCATCCCAGCAAAGTGAATAAAAGAACACGTGGCTGAACTCCACGCAATCCAGTACACATTAGATGAGCTTAAGAGCCCACCTAATACACCAAGCTTTTCCATAGATTTACAGTCTGCTATGCCCATTTTCTGGATCTCACTGTGGCTTACAGCACCCCCTATCAAATCTGCAGGCTCCTCAAGCACTGTCACTTGCAAACACATAGGGAGGACTTCAGTATTCCGAATCGAAATGTTTTACTTAAGCTTCTAAAAATCCATTTAAGTACTTTTAATCTAGTCCCAAGCAGATTTTTCTCTTTTTCTTAACAGCACAAAACAATCCTGGAACGACACTACATGCTATTTTGCATCAAGCTGTTGGGAGAAAGCTGTCAAAACAATGTAATCACAGGATCTTTATTACAGGGGTGGGAGGAAGGAAAAATGGATGATCTTGTAAGATTTTTTTGGTCTTAGCACCTACAGTACGGTCGCCTTTAGCTCACCAAAATGGTTCTTTCCACTCTTGATATTCCTCTTATTTTTTTTATGAAGAACAGATGGATAGCAAGCACTGAAGACACTGTAGAGACTGTTAGTTTCGTGATCATTAAGAACAGAGAACTATCTCCAAGTTGCTTCTTATGCAGTTACATTCTTGCACGGCAAGCCAAAGACCCCGAGTGCATAAGCAGAGTCTCTCCCACAGAGCTGACAATGAAGTTTGGATAAAGGGCCCGCTGAGTGCAATCAGAGCCAGGCCATGCTCTCTTTCCACCGCTGGTCCTCTGCTCCAAACAGAAGGTGACACTGCTCATGCACTGTGTTTTGTGCAAGCTCCCTGTAACAGCTACACACTTTATCCTTCTTCACGCTCACCGAGGGACTAGATGCATATTTTAAGAGTTCTCCATCAAGCTCCAAAACCCACTATAAGTGGCTCTTCAATCAACCTTCTCCCCCACTGAGCAGCACCAAACTGAACCCTCTGAACCAGAAGAGGATGGCAGCAGCCAGTGAAAGGCCTTGCATCACTTTGTTTCTCAGATGATGCCCATGAGGGAGACGATATGCCTTAGAGTGTAGTAGGAGAAACTGTGGAACAGCAGTTCAAAGGATTCATTTCATCAAAGAATTGCATCAAAGGTTGGAAGGGACCTTTCAGATCATCAAACCCAACCATCAACCTAACACTGACAAAAACCATCACTAAATGCTATGCGCTATGTCTACTCATGTTTAAATACCTCCAGAAATATTCAATATTCATTTAAGAGTACTTTTGGAAAGACAGAACAGTGCAGTTGGCACTCTCAAGCATCATACAAAGCTTATACAATTACAACAGTAATTACTTCATACATACAAACTGGTTTGACAGACTAAAAAGCCAAAGAAGTTTGCAATGTATTTTTAATGTATCAATAAAGTCAGTCCAATTCTATCACGAGTATACTTTTCTCAACCACTATCACGAGCTAGTTTTTAAAGTACCACGAAAGCCACAACAGCATGAAAAAATGTGAAATTACACACTTCATCGTGTAACCTTGATAATGCCATTCTGATGCAGACGTTTCTTCTCAATCATAATGATACTACTAAAAACTACTCTAACTCCAAATGGAGAGTAGACTTCTGTTATTGTGTAGTATGCAAATGTATGCATCTGAGAAGTTGTTTTAAGCTATCCCCTCAGTCAGCGTTTATAGAATAGCTAGATTGGAGTCTACAGCATAACTTTACAGGCCTAAAGTCCCTCTATGACTGAAAATAAAAAAAAAATCTGCCACATTAAGAATCTGGATTACATTATAGAAGAAAACTTACCCCTTTTGGCCTTAGAGCTATTGGCGTTCAGCCCAATTAAAGCAAATGCAAGCTGATTCAACTAAGGATTGCATCCTGGAAGAGCCATGAGTCCCCAGTTCTTGCTTAACTTCAGCAGAACATATGGCAGATGTGATCATCTCCACATCTCGCAGTATATAGGCGTAAAAACACATTACCCTCATCTCTGAAACTACAGCTGCCAAAAGCTGTATTAAAATTCTCACTTGTTATAATAATATTTACGGTGTGTCCTGGAGCCTGGTTTGGTCATGCTGAAAACAAATAAAAAGCAGCCTCCAAAGCTGCAATACAAAAATTGAACCTGATCTGAATTTGTAACAAGTATCTCTATGCCAAATAAGTCTGACAACTTTTTAAAGCCCATAGTATCTCATAACTTCTAGTCTTTAAATTCTATTTTGAAAGTAAAACCTAACAGAGCAAGATGCTAATATCCTTCTGAATATGTAACTTACTTACAACATTACATATATAACATATAATTTACAAAAATGAATGCATTCCTCACACAATGCAGAGGGAGACTAAAGTTTCAGCCTCCACAAAAGGCTTAACCAAAAATGAGAAAGCATCACATACAGCAAAACTGTAAAATAAAAGTTTCCCCAATGTGCTCTCAACAGCTCCGAACAAAAACCAGTACTCCAAGTCAACCATCTAAACATTTACCATCTGTTCTCAGAACTGCTTTCTGCAAAATTTTCGGATCTCTTCCATTTATTAAACATTCTCTAGTATTTCTGAAATACTCTTCCATATCTCTCCTACTTCTGTGGTTACACATTCCATTTCTTAATACTTTTAGCAGCCCCTTTCACAATAGTCTCTCAAAAGGATTAGTAACACAGTACAAACACTGTAAAGTCAAATAAATGCTACAGGACAAAGAGAACAGAGAACTAAGCCCAACTGAGATACACGGTTGTAAGTTTACTCAATTTAACTTGCTTCAACTTGCTTTTCCTTTCTGGCAAACATTTTCAACCAACAGCCGCCTCATCTTTCCCCTTCAATTCTTTACCCTTGAATTTTTCGCATGAGTTAAAAGTATCCTACCCCCAGATACAGTACTCTACTTCTGGTTTTAGTCCGCTCTCTACCTAAAAGAGAAAACACGACAGAAATACAAGCCACAAACATGCACTAACCTGGTGAACGTGCCAGATCGGCACATAGTTCTTCTGCTGACAGTTTCACCAAATGATTGTTTCCTCTGTGATGACCAAGCCATTAATAACTTATGACCCCTCTCAGGCATGACAGGAACATCTCTGCACTTCTCCCCGTTCTGTGTATTATAAGGTTGAAAGAGGCTGCAATAGCTGCTGTAAGCTCAACACACAAAAGGAAAAGAAACCCTGCCACAACTGCTTGTGCATCTGCTCTGCGCTGTGGCCAAAAGGGACGCCTCGGCAATGACTTATTTCCTTTGTTACTTCCTGTTCCCCTCAGTGCTAGTGGGCAGCAGTACCTCTGTCAGATTTCCCAGCTTCCCAGGGAGGTTATAAATCAAACCCTGCATACCTCAAACCTCTGTCAGAGGGCAAACCAGAACGTAGAGGGGATTTTCCAGTCCTCACTTGCTTCCTACTCACCTTTCGATCAACTACTTTCCCTTGGGAGAAAAAGAAAGACGTCCCTTTTTTTTTTCCTTACAGTGTACTCAGGCTCTCACAGCGGCAGGGGCACAGCTCAGAAACGCTGCCTGGGCTTCTGAAGAGCCTGTGCTTCAGGTACTGGAACCCTACCACAGAACTATGATAACTATTTAATCTCTCTTTTCTCTACTGTAGCTGGAGCTTGTCCTTCCCTCTTCAACCCAAGAAATTGAAAATAGCCATTTGGAAAGATTATGCAGCATATACAGAGCGAGTCCTGCCTCTACATTAAATGCTACACAAACCGCCAAAGACGGTAACATTTGAATGCAAGAGGCTCACAACACAAGAGGAACAACTCTACAGGACAAGTATCACCAACTGATGATGAATAAATGCCATTGTTGTACACTTACTTTCATCTGGAGCTCCCTAAACGATTCAAGTATTTCACTGACTTTGTCTGGAACTAACCAACACCCAAGGCTAGAGGGTTCGAATAAGACCAAAATACCCAGTGGGTTTCAGAATGATGGACAAAACCCACATACACAAATACACCAGGAAAAGCTTACTTCACCTGTTTCCTAGGAAATGGACATGAATTTGTACTCAAAAACAGAAGGAAGACGTTTCTGTATAATGTCTTTTCTCTTTGTAAAATACCCAACAGCCAAATCAGAGAAGAAACTAACATTTCAATACTGGCCATGGCTGTTTCAGCTAGAAATTCAATTCTCAGCCTTCACCATAGGGCACTCATTTGCACTCCTTCCATATGGTAGGAAGGAGAAGCAAACCATAAATATGGTTTATGGAAGCAAACCAAAAATAACACCTGTTGCTAGCTAACAGGATCAGCATATCAACACAAAATCTCAAAGCTATTTAATAAGAATCAATACCCAGTTATCTCAGTGCCTTAATTAACAGATTTCTTCACACAGAAATGACGTAAAGAAGACTACACCTCAGCAGTTTGTGAATTAAATTCATTTACTTTATCTGATAGAATATCAGCTACCAATTTAGACTTTAAGCATTCACACACAATGCTTTAAAGCAGTCTTTCCTCCCCTAGTTCTCTGCTACCTAAGCATACTCTTCTAAGTTTGCGCTACCATCTTTGCAATTTTGATCTCTACCTCAGTAAAAAAGCTACAATCAAAATGACAGCATTTGTGTATATGTAACACTGGGGGGAAAAAAAAAAAAAAAAAAAAAAAAAAAAAGCAGTTCCTCTTTCCCTTTTCTGGTGACACACCTAAGTCTTGGTTTTCCCCTCCGAACTCCACACCTATACTACCACGCTCTTTGGCCTCAACAGTCTCATTTTAATTAGGTCTCATTTATCCAACACATTTTCCTGAACTACAGTTTTTCCACTCTAACTTTTCTGGTACTGTCCTCTCCCATTCTTCACTTAAGCACTCAAAAATACAGACTTTTTCATTTCAAGTTCCAAGATCCCCTTTTGATTTTTGTGGTGATTTCCACCACTGTCAAAATGGTCACTGAGTTGGAAAAGAAGCCATTTCACACATGTACACACACAAGCTGGTGTTCCACTGAGGAACAACAACAACAAATTAGGTATTTCACAGTTTTGGAAGAATGAAAATTCCATTTAACTGTCTAGACCAAACATTAATTAGAAGGGTGATATTTCAAAATTGCAAATAAAGATCCTGCAGAAATAGAAAATCTTTACAGATTTGATTAACGTGCCTGTCAGGGAAGTGAAAGGTTATTAAACTTATCTTTCTTCACAATGCAAAGTTCCGTTTGGCAAAGAACTCTGCTATATGGTTTTCAGACCACTAACCTTCATTTGTCCCCACAAAATCAGTAGTGAGAAGCAGCCTCACACCTTAATAGGAAGAACCGAAGCATCAGAAACCACCATTTGGTTTTCATTCCAGCAGGGTCAATGTCTGAGGAAGTCAGCCAATCACTTTGGCCATTGTTAGGAACAGCTCTTGCTCCCCAACAAAAGCAACCCTACTTATCTTTAGTTAATGGCAAGCAAGAGCAATAAAATATACTTCTAGCGCTATGCTGTCCTTGCCAGTAAAAGTTCACTGGTCTAGCTGATGGGTTGAGCTGCGTCTGCAGCAAGAGAACTTCCTCTTGCTGACCAATTTACAGGAAACTGCAAGAATGGACTGTAAATAAAAGCTGCACGAGAAGAGCTCAGCAACAGGCCAGGCAGAAAAATTAACAAAGGAACAATGAAAAAAATTGAGATAGTGTAAAGTACTGTAAAAACCACTTTCCTTCAGCTCCAGCAGTCAGGTTCCACTCAGAATAACGTAAAAGTTCACACGTTATATATTTCCATAAAAGCCTACAGTATAGTAAGGCATTAAAGAAGGCTACATTCTGTTGGTTTTACTGACTTTAATGAGCTTGAATTGGGATCAGATTATTGTGTGCTTTATTATTTTATTAATTCTACCAAACTAGCTTAGTCCCGAGTTTCTAGATCACAGTGGAAACTCATCCATTATATTGAGAGATGATAGATCTGTCAACTGTACACTCCACAACTGCAGGGTGCAAAAGAGCAAGGATAAATTACTCACCTGAATCCTTCATCTGCTAGATAAGGCAGTCCTGTGAAAATGTGCATAAACATGCATCAGAATTACTTCTGATGGGTGACCTGCAGAATAATAATTAAAAAGAAAAGTAATCAGCAACGAAGGAGAGAAGTGAGGCCAGAACTTTCAAAATCCTCTTTCAATGCCAGAAGAATTCTTATTCTTTAAACTTCAATTATTGCTCCACCATTCAGCTTACTTAGGAAGAGCTGAAGAAGCTTTAATAATGTATTTATTAGTCATATATATTAAAGAAAGTAGCTGAAGCCTTGATAATATACATTCAATCAAAAGTTAGAAACACTTCAGGTCAAAAAACTTCTGAATTTCTATTTATACCGCACTGCTCTTAAGCTCTGAACATCTACGGACATATTTTTGGCTTGGAACTTCAAAACAGCCAGCCAGCACTGGCCTGCAACATGCAATCCATACTTCAGAGAAAGAGTGTATCAATTTTAAAACAAAGTCGTAACTTTTTTTGGTTGTTTCACAAAACAGCTTGGCACAAATCCTAGAAGATGATATACTGACTTTGATTTGGGGATATAGTTCATGTCATATATTGCTTAAATGTCTATAGATCAAAAGACAGCCACAAAGTATTTGTGGTGCACACATAGATTGTAAAAATCTATGCTGGCAGAACCTTCTGCAAACTCGCAATATAAAAACATCATCATTTAACAGATTCTCTTACATCAGTTAGCCTTGAAAAAGAACCTAAGACTTAATACTGATGTAAATAAGGATTGAATTAAAATCAGTACAGCTATCCTAGCACAAATTTCTATGTTGGCAATTTTATTATGAGTAGTTTTTTCAAGTTAATTTCAAGGGATTTCTACTGAATCAAAAGGCCCTTCAGAACTGTACAGGAGCATTCTCCCAGCAAGTTAACTATGTGTCAAATCTATGCCTGTCAGACCATACCAGTAACGCTTGGTATAAGCAACACTTAAAATAAAGGGCAAGTTATTAAACATTTTTGCTGCTTATTACATTTCTTTAAAATAAATTCAAGGAGACATTACCAAGACAAGACTTCCATGCTCATTTACTGTTCAAACCAGATGGGAAGGTTCTGTGTTCCTTTTAACTGTTACCTATATACAAGGTCCTTGTAAAAAAGGCTGTAAATGCAGCTGTGGTTATGATTAACTGATATCTTTCATCAGTGCTTGTAAAACAATTTAAACCAGAACATAGTTTAAAAAAAAATCATGTAACTAGGCAGAAGTACAAACGTGATTGCCAGAGTCCTGTTCCTGCAGACAGTTGTGCAGCAGACAGCTGCAAAGGGAGTTCCCCAAATACACGTAGACACTTAGAGTGGGAGTTTCCACAAATTATTTATTTCCCTGGCAGAAGTTTTTGATTCCAAAACGTTAGAGTTGAAACAACTTTATCCCTAGGCTGGTTTGTGATGACTTGCATACAATTCTATCACTAATGTATTCATAATTGATAATTTAGGAAGAACTGTTGAGTGACAAAATTTCTACTTATATGTCAAAACACCTTTAAGCCTTTAAGGTGGCAGGGCATTGGTATTTAGAAAAAGCAACAGCTAAATAAAGGTTTTCAGAAATTTACAAGAGGAAGTCAAAAACCCATTACTGATTATAAAGCATATTTGATAGGTACACTTAACCAGCAGACCTCCTGCCATATAAAGTTAGGAAATGTTATTCCTAGTTGTTAGGAAATATTTTTTTCTGTTTTCTTAGAATTTGACTTAAACCAATTTAAAGAATATCAAGGGTTCAAGTGAAAAAAAAAAAAAAAAAAAAAAAAAGGCAAAAACCACCCTTACAATTTCTGCTTTATATAACAAACCAGATTATTTTAAAGGTTACTTTCAATATCAGAAATGTAATGGGAAAGAAAAAAAAAAAAAAAAAAAAAAAAGAAAGGCGAAAACCCCACCTTAGAGGCCTACACTTACATTCATAATTTTCTATCATTTCTGATACTAAAGCATTTTGGCAAGACGTACAACATCCATTACTTAATTGTGTACTGTGCTTGTACAAGACTAACAAAACTTAGGTCCAAGACTAATAATTCCAGTTAAAGAGAGTATTTCATGTAAGTGTATATGCAAGTCAACAGAAAAATTACCAAATATAAGCAATTTTAAAACATTCCTGCAGCAGGATATTAAAACCAACAAAAACTCATAAAATGTATAAAGAA